AGGATGTGAATTCTGTGATGGATACTGGCCTCAGGGAGATTCGTTAGGAAGCGCTCTGAAAAGCACTGGAAAGACAGAAAAACGAAGGAAGCGGCACTGAGTGCATGGAGAAGCTGGGCCACATCAAAGTCTCCGCCAACTCCAGAAACAGTTCTAGAGCAGGGACGGCCTTCGGAGTTGTTTTAAGCTGGGGTGAAGGGGCCAGGTCCTTCTGTCACTGAATACAGCTGTCCCTGGGAAAGGACATGAGCATGGGTGAGGGTCTCTCTCTGCCTGAGGAACTTCCAGAACAGGACTCATGGCTGTGGCTGTCTTCTGGGAGCAAGTCCAGAGGTGGGGGAAACTCCCTCCCTCCTCGAGGCACATGATAGCAGGCGCTATGTCCACTACTTTTGGAATGAGTTGTTCTATATCTAGGAAAAAACTCTACAGATACACTGACATGTGTTGGAAATGACATAGGTTGGCATTGTTTGTAATAGTAAAATTATGTAAAACAAATTATGGTGAGCTCTAGGCATTACTGACAAGAATAGGGCAGCTCTTTGCATACTCTTGTGGAATACATTCTAAAACACACACATACTAAGTGAGAAATCGGTGCTCACATGCCGACAGATATGCAGAAGGGCTGCGGGAACGCTGGTGGGGTGGATGGACCAGAGGCTCTGGTCTCCTCTCGCTCCACTTGCTCTTCAGAGGCATTCCAGGCTACAGTGACCTCTCTAGACTGTGACACTGTGGGTGCATCTCTCACTAGAATTTGCCCGCGTGGGTGTGGGTGGTGTGCGTGGTGGGGAGAGTGTACGGGCTCTGCCTTTCTGCATTCTAAATGCTGCACGTGAAGTGACATCAGGGCCTAGAGCAGTGACAGTCACAACTACAGCTTACCAAACCACTAGTGTGAAGTGCTAGATTACATCTGACATGATCAAATTGAGTGGGGATACAATATCGCTTCCTCTTCAAAAACTCAGATGCAAAGGAGCAGGCATGGGGAGATTAATTTAATTACAAACACACATTCAACTTCAAGTTTTCAGCAAATGTAATTTTACAAAGGCAACACAGAAAAAGCCAAGGGCAGGGCCCTTTCACAAGCCATTAGATATATTTCTTCCAGGTGTATTTCTATCAAGTAATTATTCCATACTAAGGATGATGTTCAACCTGTTACCAACAAACCAAAGTGAATTAACAGCCGGTCTCCATTTCTTTATCTCATTGACATCTGCTCTATAAAATATCTCTCATACAGTCTTTGCAGTCAATATCTATAGCTAAAATTCTACAGTAAATTCTAAGAAAGACCATCTTGGAACAAACTATGGTTTGAAGGCTGAAATGCACATGAAAATACATAAAATCAGGCCAAACATCCCTAATCTGAAAATCCAAAATCCAAAGAGCTCCAAAATCCAGAACTTTCTGAGTGTCCATGTAACACCACAAGTGGAAAATGCCAGACCTGACCTCATTTGACAGAGGGCAATCAAAGGATAGGGCACTAAAAATACTGCACGGTAGGTACTAACTTCTGGCCATGTGTGTAAAGTGTACATGAGGTACAATGCAATTCACGTTCAGACTTGGGTCCTAGGTATCCCAAGGTATCTTGTTGTATACATGCAAATATTCCAAAATCTGAATGAGTTTGAAATCAGAAACACTTCTGGTCTCAACCTGTCGAGGTTCGGAAGTGTTTAAAATATGTATTTGAAGGAAAAATCACACTTTTCTTTTTAGAAGACATGTATATTAAGGAAGGATAGAAAGAGCAGAAGATGGACAGGTATCCAGCTGCTTCCCCTGGGATCCACACGCATCCACCTAACTCCACCCCACCTCCAATATCACACAGGGACAGCGCTCCAGGGCCCTCGACTCTTCCATGTGGGCCCCTGGCTTATCCCGGCTCCTTTCCTGCCTTTCTTCCACCCGTGACAGCAAGGCACTGCTGCTCTTTACACCTTGGAGCCTCTATTAACACCAAGGGAAGACAGCACCAAGTCCTAGACCACTGTGTGACTGCTTAGTATCAATCCATTCATCAGCTGCATGTCTTAGTCTCACAGGAGGTGACTTGTGCCTGAGGAGAAGAGACCTTTTGCCTCAAATATCAACGGAGGAGATGCCAACCATGCTGGCCTGATCCTCTCAGGCCCTCCCAGGACTTTGAAGACCCTCACAGGACCCCTGGGGCATTCGGGGTAGTGGGACACAAAATGATGCCCCCTCTCACCTTCCCAGGACCCGGGGATTCTGGGCTGGGAGAGCCAGACAGGCAGTTTGTGAACTGGGGGGAAGAGGGTAGAGAGAAGGGGCAGAAGCTCCTTCCAGGCAACCACAACTAACTCTCTGGCTGTGTCTAGCAAATCTCAGGCAGTGCAATTATCTGGTTAATTTGGCCTTAGTGAGAGACAGGCTCCAAGAATCTGAGGCCAGCTTAGACTAAACAGGGGCTTCTGTCCTAAGCTTCTGCTCGAGCCCTACAGGAGGCACACAGATTGCTGGGGGCTGCTTATGTGACCTGCCACCATCCAGCCGGGCAGAGGTAAGGATCCGGGCTCCAAGATGGCTTGGGAAGGTAGGTCTTCCCAGGGAGAATGCCCCATAGCCTGCTAACCGGCTTCCTGGCTTGATCACCCTCTGGCTTCCACAGGGGCATGGCTGGAAGTCAGGGAGACTGAATCCGCCAAGGTTTCCAGTGTGACTGCAGCCCCCAGGGGCCAGCCTGTTTCCTGGGGCCCCTCAGAGAGCTACTCTTGGGGTGATCCCCTCTGTGGCTCCTGCTCAGATTCTGTACCTACAAGTGGGGCTAAAGGAAGTGCAAAGGTACAAGGGAGGCATTAAACAACACACTTTCCGGTGCTGGGGGTAGGGACAGGCGGGCCGCTCAGCTGGCAACTGAGCACTTCCCAGATGGTTCACGGAAACCCAGCGTTGGGGGAAGATTCTGGCACAGGGATTCCTCACCCTGGAAACTGACACACAGCCTGGAATCGGCGGAGTCCATCCGTCATCCATTCTGCAAGCTTTTCCTTCACTTCTAGTTCCTGCCAGGCCCGGTGCTACATTCTGAAGTCCGAGCAGCCGTGGGCCCCACACTCATGCAAACAATTCCACCTTAGATACACAGCTGAAAACTCAGATCGGGGCTACAAAGGAAGAGCTGGGAGGCCGTGCCAGAGAACAGCCACCTGACAGATGGGCTCAGAGGAGCCGCTGCGCTCGGGCTTCCAGATGGCGCGTTGAGGATCGGTCGCGCTGCCTTGGTGTGAGGAATAAACACCGGAGCTGGGCATGAGCGAGAGACGTGGGTGGGGTCCCACCGGGCCAGATCTGTGGCAGCCTGCGAGGCGGATGCACACGGCATTATGGGATCGGGATCAGACAGCAGCATGGCTGAGGGTGCAGCGGGTCGGCTCCTGCTCGGAGGACAGACAGGACAGGGTGTCCTCGTCACCAGGGTGGGCCCGGGAGGGCCGGGACAGGGCCGGGTAGACAGAAGGGCCTGCTTCGGAGCTCGCCAGTGGGCCTCTCTCTAGGCCTCAACCCCACCTGTGGGAGCCCTGCACACTCCGCGGGGCAGCGCTGGGGCTGGCTCCTCCTGCCCCCGCTGCAGACCCCAGACTCACCTCGCCTCCCTGCCTAGACTTGGCCCCAGGTTCTCCACAGAGCTCACTAGCCGAGCAGACACTTGAAAAATATTTGTAAAATGAACAAAAATATCCTTTTTTTCCATGAAGGAAAACCAGTGGACACTGGATTGACTTGAAAGCCAACGGGGTCAAGCTGAGATCCAAACTGTAAGTGTTGCAGTCAGGCCAGGCCAGGCGCCCACGCAGGGGCTCTCTGCTCCTGACAGGGAGCTCAGAAGGGCGGGGAGGGGACTGCAGGTCACACCCACAGCCCTGGTCCCCTTACTGTGCTTTCTTCAATTAAGTTCACAACAAGCACCTGGTCTGCCTTATTTACTCTTTGACCTTGATGGTGAGAGAGGAAGGGGAAGAAAAGGAAGAGGAGGAGGAAGAGGAAGAGAAGGAGGAAGAGGAAGAGTAGGAGGAAGAGGAGAAAGAGAAGAGGAAAAGAACAAGATGAAGAAGGAGAAGGAACAGAAGTAGGACAAGGAGAACAGACACTGCTTAACGCTCCAAGTATGCACCGGGCACTGTTCCAGGCACCTTTCACGCACACCTCCTTTGACCCTCCCAGCAATCCCACGCCCACTGGCTGATGCGTTTATCACTCTGAGTGTGGATGAAAAGCCGGACAGAGCTTTGGCACTGCTCAACAGAGGCCACACACCACGAGACGGCATTGGGATTTGAACCCACAGTCTGCCCCCGAGCCTGACAGGAGGCTCTCACTTGGTGAAGCCCAGGAGACCACACCTTCTGGCCCTGATCCTACCCTGACTTCCCTTCCAGCCTTGAGCAGGACCATGTTTCTTCCCACTCAAACCAGGAGGCCAGAATATTCATCACAGCAACAACAGGAAGAGCTAGGATCCTTGGTTCTGATCTCTGTTGAGGTTTTAGATAATTTAACACCAACAATGACCCAAGAAGACAGAGGGGCGAGAGGTTAAATCGCCTGCTCACGAGGGGACAGGGGACTGGAGCCAGTTCAACATGCAAGCTTTCAAGATGTTCTTCCTGGCTGAAGCACTCCCAGAAGATGTCAGAGGCCATGGGGAACCACACGGGTCACAGACTTCTGGACCCCAGCCCCTTCCAGCAGAGCAGCTCTGCCTGTCTCTGTTTTGCAGAGTGAGCTGCTATCTGACATTTCCTTTGAAATTCTGCTGCTAAAACAAAAAGGCTACAAACTACTGGACCGTATAATTCTGGAATTCGGTGAAACTCCCAGGTCTGTCGAAGCCGGGATGTTTCTGGTTATCTTAATTCATATGGCCAAGGAAGACGGGACAAGGCGCTCCCAGGAATGGCACATGCTTGGAAAGGGCAGAGCAGCAGCACCAACTCAGCACCACCTACCTGTTCCACTCGGATCTCAACCTCTCCGTCCACCTTCTTTCCGTGGAAATACTTCGCCCTGCAAGGAGAGAGAAGGGATGAAGGCGGCTTTCCTCTTTGCTCTCTTCTCCCTTCTCGAGAAGGCCTTGCCCCTGGGGGACATGCTAAGGCTTTCTCCACCTCCCGCCCCCACCCGTGAACGAGTGACACCCACGTGTGACTGAGAGGCGTGCGTGGTGAGGGGAAGAGTGTGGGTGCGAGGCAGGACACTCACACTCCGGGCCTGTCCAGTTGGCCTCCCCACATCCCAGTTTTATCATCTGTCACAGAGGGACGAACACCCCCACTACGTATGGCTAAGGGTTTTTGGGGGTTAAATGGGATAATGAATGAATAAATCAGTACTGTTTCGCTAAGCAGCAACCTAGTAAACAGGGTACTCACAGGGCCTATCACTGACCTCCGCATTCGCCCTTTTCCACGCTGCCCACTTGTCCAGCCAAGCGGTCATCGTCTGCCCGCCTCCTGCTCCTCCAGGGGTTCCCTCGGCCCCGCCTTCCCTAGCAGCAGGCCTCTCACCCTGGCCCGCCGCTCAAGGCCAGTGTGGACCGCATCCCTGTGGCTGCTCCTCCCTCCCTGTCCCGGCTCTGCACCCGACTCGTGTCTCCAAGGCAGCCACCCACTCGGCCACTTCTCCTCCTCGCCCTCAGCCTGGCCCTGAGCACCTCTCTTCCGACAGAGACTGCCTCCTCGTACTCGGCTCTCCTTTCCCACAATGACAGTCAGGGTCGGCGTTAGCAACGTCCCTCGCGCCTGTGTCCATGGAGCGAGCCCAGGTCCCAGCCGGCTCAGCGATCCGTCCCCCGCACCCGGCAGCACTCCATACCCAGGGGCAAACTCGCCCCGAGTGACCACACAGCCGAGAGACCCAGCCGAGCTTTCCGCGTGTGATGCTCACGCTCACATGAAGAGGAGGAAACTCAAACTCAGAGACGGTCCATGCTTTGCCGAGGGACACGAAGCCAGGCCTTCTTTGTTTGATTTTTTCTCAGTAACGCTTGCAGCCATTGCGGTCATGGTCACCACGGGGCTGGTCCTCACACGCACATCTTAAGGCTTTTCTCCCGCCTCCTCCACTATCGCTCAAGCCCTTCCCTGCTTCCTGGTGCCCAGCCCTCATCCAGGCCTTTGATTCAATAGCTGTGCTTCTGCCGACTCCTGAGAAGCAGCGGCCCCAGCTGGAGTGCGCGTGGCCTTAGCTTCCCAAGAACAAAGTAAGAGGAACACGAGTTTCCACGCAGTCCTTCGATTACCGCTGTAACTGAAACTCACAGTTCTGGTCACACGCGGAAACCTGACACTGTTCTGGGCATTTCTGAGTCTTCTCACGGGCAGAGACAGCTCCTCTCTCCTCAGGACTTGGCCCAACGTTTCGCACAGCAATAGAGTTATCTATCAGCGCATAAAGACGTACGTGTTCCAGCTCTCCACCAGGCAGGCCTGGCCACTCGGTTGAGTTCTAATCAATACTTCAGAAGCACTACATTCAAGAACCTTCCTCCTAGCTCCTTCTGTTCTTTTCCCTGGAACATGGATGTTGCCAACTCTTTTCTCGACCCTCCCATTTGTGAAAGACCCCTTTCTATAAGTTCTCAGACTGCTTCCACCTGTCCATTTTCAAGCCTGCTCTGCCAACGCTTGGCCTTGCCAGTGGAGTCGTGTCGTCCCAAGACGGCTGGAATCGCTGACTGGCACCTGCTATGTTAGTACCACTTTCTCCTACGAGGTTGACAGTCCAAGACGTCACCAATGTGGACTTTTGTGGGACAGGAACTGCTGGTGTGACTTGAAAGCGAGATTCTGTTTTCTTCTTCCAGCAATGCTCTTTACTAAAATGTGTGTGTGGCAAGCCTCAAGCCGAGGGAAACCGCGGAGTTTGTGGATTTTATCACAAACCTTTAATGGTCATGGCATCAAATTCCAGACACCAGGACAGGTTTACCTCTAGTATTTGTGGGGCTTGGAATGTGTCATCTGTCTAATATTTAAAAGTGCAAATAAAACTAGAAAACTTTTAGATGCAACATGTCTGTTGCCTTCCTTGACCAGTTCAACTCCACAATGACCTCGAAGATTCAAAACTTAGACTTAAGGCCCTTGGAGTTCCAGCAGAATGTGGGGCATGGGGATGGCCAGTTGTTGGCTCCGCCTCTGTTTCTGCCCCCAGAGTCTCCCCAATCCTCCCACTCTGTCCTGTGTCCCTGAGGATTCTGTGCAGGTTCATGGATGGCCATGTCGTGGGCCACCTCAGGCCACCTTGATGCCTTGGCCCAGTCCACACAGCTGCTGGAGTTAGGCGGAGAGATCCAGGCCTCGGGGACCCAGAACATTATTGGGGTGCAGTTTCCAGGCACCTCTGCCCCCGCTAACTCCTCTGCCCACAGAGAGGGGTGGGGCAGAAAGTGCTGGAGTGGGGTCCAGGGCAGACACCCTCTGGCCTGTGCGGGCCTGGGCCCCGGGGGCTGCCTGTGGCTGCAAGTCTGCTGGGGGTCATGGAGCTGGAGTCCTGTGGACGAGGACAGTCTCAGCTCTACAACTCACTGCCGTGCATTCTAAGACGAAGCACCTAACCCTCAGCCTGCATGCCCATTTGCCAAGTGGTGACGGCACCCACGGGGCAGGTGGAGGTGAGAAAGTCACTCAAGCTGTCTGAACACAGCGCTGGGGTGATTGCATGCCTGGACACACCCCACTCCTCCATTCGTGAGCTAAGCAGCCTCCAGAGTTTCTCACCCCCCAGCACCTCAGTTTCCTAGCTGGGGAGGGGGATGACAGTGGCTTCCTCACAGGACCATGTGAGCATCAAATGCACTTAGAGTCAGTCCTGGCTCCACCCACTAAGCTCCGAGGTCTGCAGCCCAGGACCCGAAACAGAACCTCAGCAACAGGAAGGCTGAGCGTCCACTCCGTGCCAGATGAGCGGGATCGGGGACCCACAAATAACAGCGTTGCCTTCCCGAGGCCCCAGAAGTGCAGGACCCTGTGGGGAAGGGCTGCCAGCCCCTGCTGCTGACCTTCGGCCACTCAGGGGTCACAGGCAGGGTCCCCGTGAGACTTCCAGTAGTCCTCGACCCGGGGCTCTGCACTTCGAGTGTTCAGGGTTCAGTCGGCGCCCAGGGCCCTTCTGGATCCCCAGCCTGCTGGGCGGCCAGCCTGGGTGTCCTTGCGTGCTCTGCTCTCCTGGCCGCCCCTGCCTTGGGTCCAAGGCCTCAGGGTGTGACACTTCCTTCCACCCTTCCGACTCTCACTCCTGCCCGGGTGTCTTGTCTGGAAGCCAGGAGCTCAGTCTCGGGGCTCACCGAGTCCAGTGGGCCGTAGACACAGGCACATGCACAGGCAGCACTTGAGATGCGCAACTGCCACCTGCTGGTAGCTCTCGGTCACCGAGGTCCTTGGACAGTGTCCAACCTGCACAACCACCTCGATCCCGGGGCACTTGGCTACACCAGTACCACCCAAGCGGCTCCACCCTGACGTAGCCTCGCCTTCTCGCTTTGCCCACCTCTGGGATGTCTACTGCAGGGCTTGGCAGACGGTGGGGCCGAGGTGGGGGTCAGGTGGCCCATCCCGCCTGGCCCCGAGTCAGCAGCCTGTCTCCTGATGGGCCACACAGACTGCGGCCTCCCGGCTGCCGCTCATTCAGGCCCTGCCGCCTCTGAACAGCTCTGCCTGGCAGCAGGGAGGGAGGATGGTGTGGAATTCCCGATGCCCTGGGGCTGGGCGGAGAGGCCGTGTGACCTCAGGCAGAGCAGTCAGGCCCCTCTGTGCCCGGGGCTTTGTCCCGAGTGGCCTCTTCCCAGGCCTAATCCACCTGGGCCATCATCCATCAGTCCCAGGCCTACGGAGGGGCGGGAGCCGCGGGCTCTGGCTCCTGTCTCCGTGGGTGGCCTCGTCTTTATGGCCATATCCAGCCCCAGGGAGGAGAACGCTGCAGGAGGGAAACCCGGGACTGACAGGGGACTGCTGTGTGGGCAGAGGAGGGAGGGAGGGCAGCACTCCTCAGGCAGGAGAGAGAACGGGTGCCCAAGGGCCCCACTTATTCCCCCTCGGGCTCCTCCAACGAGGCTGTCCTAGACGCAGCGCCCTGGCGATGCCGTCAGGGGAGGGAGGCTTGGCAGGGGCTGGGAACACAGCGCTCCCTTTCGGAGAGATTCCTGCATCAGACGCCAGGTGCCAGTTGCTCATTTGTGGTCTGGACAGTGGCGAGGAGATGCACACCGGACCACACAGGGGACTGCTAAGAGCAGACACACTCAGGCTTCCAGTTAGCAAGGTGAGAGGGGGTCACAGGTGGCAAATGCAGGAACTCGGCACTCAGAGGGCCCAGGGTCTGATTCCAGCTTTGTCCCCTGCTCTGGAGAACAGCTCACTCCACCCTTTCTCACTGCCAGAGGGGGCTCTCCAAAGAGGGGAGCCCTCGGTGGGCCACGCAACCAGGGTTCCTGCTCCTTGGCCCTGTCCAGGGAGGAAGGGAGACCCCCTGGGCCTCACAGCCCTGGCCTTGGGCAGCAATGGGAGAGAGGGGTCACCGTGTCCTCACCCTTGCCCCGCTGCTGTCCCATCTCCCTGGGAGGGGAAGGCGGACCTCGAAGACCTCACACGCTTATGGAAAGAGACGGACGTCGAAGACAGCGCGCCAACTAAAACAGCTGAGGTGAGCTGCAGGGAGCAGAGGACTTTGCTTCTGCAGCCACAGAAGGCTCCTCTGAAAGACGCCTACACTGATGGCAACTGCACAGAGCTCTGGGAACCAAGACCGAAGCTGAGAGGTAGCAGGAAGGAGACACATAGACTGACAACAGCCACAGGTGGCGCCCAGCCCAGCTGGTGGGTCGGGAGCTGCTGCCCATGAGGTGGCACAGCTTGCTCCCTGTCCATCCAAGCTGTGGGACCTGTTCTCTGCCATGGGCATGGGCTGCACCCAGAGTTCGGGGTCCGGCTTCGTGTGCACTGGGTGGGGGGGAAGACGCAGGCACGGGCAAATGAGGTGGGCGGGTACAGAGGCACTGTGGGGCGTGG